GGGGGGCTGGGGAGGAGAGCGGGGAAGTTGCTGGTCATGTTGGTGGGGGTGTGGACTGGGGAAAAGAGGGAGTAAAAGTGCAGTTAAAAGTCTAAGGACTGAACAATGCAAGCATGTGACACAAGGAATCATAGACAAGATGCAAGGGGAGGGACATTTGTTTTCAAAAATAAAGATTTTCAAACACCCTATAAAATTCTTATCAAAAGAAAGAGATGTGGTTCCGAAATATCATTTGAGTTGATTAAAGCTGAAGGAGCCATAAGAATGAAAGAACTGAGTTACCTTCTTTTTGGCTTCCAGCTGTGTCAGGAGACCTGTTGTCTCCCAGTGCGTGTACGCTTGTTTTTCATACTCATAGGATGGAAAGAAGCATACAATGCCACCAGGGACCACTTTACATAGATTGACCAGCACCCGGCCACATTCATCCAGCTACAAAGAGAAGAGCTGGCATTAAACGCAGAAGAAGAATGAAGTATGGTCAACATCATAGAGGGCAGACAGATGAATTCCAGAACTTGTCACTGAGAACAAGCTAAGCAGTATAGATCAGGGCCGTGCAGACATCCATTTAAACCAGGAACTTCAAGAAAATGCTGGGAGGCAGAACAGCCAAATTTACTAATGATGATGACCCCTGCAATGGCAGTGCCTCACCATGCTCTGGTACTCTCACACTTGCCACAGTTCTTGGGTTTGGTCAGTCGAAAGGAATCAATAAAATTGAATCTTTCTATGAGCTTTTGAAAGTGCCATCTAATTAGTCACACACTTCTACTCTTTCCCATTAGCCCTGCAAATATTTCATTCTTCTAATCTATATACCATATCCTTTTGAAAGTCACTATTGAATCATTAAAGGTGGTATCCAACTTATGAAAATCTGATTTACGAACATTTTTACTTATGAACGAGATCTATTATTAATTTTAAGGACCCAGCATTCACTCATTCTTACAAATTGGCATTTAGTACTGTCCTGTATCATGTTGGAATTTGCATACAAATTGACTCAAGATCGTACTCAGGAATGGAAATGGCACATAACCCAGGGACTGCCTGTATGCTAAATTACAGAATCCCTACAGTGTAGAAGTAGGCCATTCAGCCCATCAAGTCGACAGTGACCCTCCGAAGAGCAGCCTACCCAGACCCACCCTTTACCCTATTCCAAAAGCCATTTCCACCTAACCTGCACAGTTGTAGACACTATGGGCGATTTAGCATTCCAATGATGTCCCTGTAAAGTGTCTCCCAATTAGTTTCAAACACACAACTCAACTAATTTGGAAAAGATGGTTAACCACCAATTCAAGCGACAGCAGAACTTTAGGCAGAAATGTAAAGAACATTAAAAAGAATTAAATTTTCAGAATAGTTTTATTCCATATTCACTGAATTAGCTAACAAGGCTTTCCAGAAATTCAGCGATCTTGTAAAGCTATTGAGAAACTGAGAGTGTGCCCTTACAAATTACAATGTATAACAATTAAATGACAGCTTTACCAGTAACCATAGCAATGTACTTGGAATGCCAGCTGAGAAACAGATGATTAAGTGAAACTTCAGTTATACCGATGTATAATCAAAGAACTGACAATGTTCAGGCTTTGAATTCACAGTATTATTTGATATATATGTTAGAAAGTCCTAAAATCCTTCTTATAAACTTAACACACAGATTTATGATTTGCCTTATGGCAGCATGGAATCTGACACCAAGCCATTTACGATCAGGTAAACAGACAATGGCCAATTTTCCAAAACTTGATTAAGACAAATTCAAAACTAATATTTATATAAAGTTTTACAAATTTTAAAAGTTGTGAATGTAAATCGGATTCAGGGGATATATACTGAACAGTCTGCTGTTCTATTGTCACAAACGTCTGCACAAATGTCTGCAGTTCCAGGTAGTAATTTCTGAGATCTAATTTGGCCCATCACTGAATTACAGCAGACCAAGTCTCACATGCGTGAGGGTCACAAAGAAATATATATCCATGGCTGAGATGAGCTTGTCGCTATTTTGTACCATTAGCCATTTACTGGAGGACCCCAAAATGAGAATCTCATCAGATTTACTGAAGGTACAAGGTGTTTAAAATTTTCTTCTGCTTGATCACGTCGAAAATCATAAAAGGTCTGCTGTTGCAATGAGTATAACCTTTCTTCGCTTTGTTTTTTCTTACTTTAGCTCCTTCTTAAAAATATTATATTATTGGTTTGCCTCAAAATCGCACACCATGATTATAATTAATTGGGTCATTTACAGACATTGGTGAATTGGAGTTATTATGAATTGAACAAGCTCGAATTGAATATATCACAACTTTACAACACAATGCTTTACTGAGATATGCTGACTTATTTCAGATTTTGGAGACAGCTTCAGGTCTGAAATACTCACCAGCTGTGTCTTGTCCCTCTTCTGGAAGGTGAATTCAAGCTGCTGTCCTGATGGGCCGCTACACAGGATTATCGGCAAAATGTTTTCTGGGGGAATCACGTGACCTAAGAGGTTTGGGGAAGAACAGTTAACAGATAATTCTGTGCTAAACATTTCAGGAAACACCAGCTTGTAGATAGAGACTGGGTGTTCATTTTCGACAGGGGTAGCTGAGGTAACCAACCCACAACAGGCAATCAGCATCACTGAGAGGAGCAGACAGTGTGAGGACACAGTGATAGGTCAGTTTTAGTGACAGGAGAGGATAGTGTGAGGACACAGTGATAAGTGTCAAGGCTAGGTTCTGGTATATACGTAATATTCTTTAAACTGGAGGAAGTAAATGGAAATACAGTAATTCAAGGGTAAGGCAGCACAGTCAGGTGTACTGCACCCCCTGTGGGATATGGGAAGTCAGGACACCTCATGTCCAGGGTGACCACATGTGCAGGACATATATCTAACTGCAACTACTAGAAATTATCCTACCAGATACAGAGCAGTAGCTGGAGTCATTGTTGATTACCTACAAGGCTGAGGTCGTTGTAGATAGAATGTGCAGCAAGGTGATCACAGTGCAGGTCAAGATTGCTGAGGTATGAAGGGAATGTTTGATCACTAGGCACAGCAAAAGCACAAAGCAAACAGTGCAGGAGTTTCTGAAGACACTTCCGTGGCTGTAGGACATTCTGAAGGGGGAAGGAGAATCAGACGTTGTGGACCAAGTTGGTTCCAACATTACAGGTTTTAAAAAAAGGCATGGAGTCCTGAGAGCAGAGTATAGGGGGCTAGGAAATGAATGAAAAACCAGGGCTTAACAGTGGAAATCTCAAGCTTACTCCTGGTGTTACGTGGTAGTGGGATCAGGAGAATAGGAGTAAATGTGCGGCTGGACGGATCACGTAGGAGGGAGGGATTTAGATTCTTAACATAGAAACACAGAAGATAGGAACATGAGTAGGCCATTTACTCTTGAGCCTGCTCCAGTATTCATCACAGATCATCATAGATCATCAAGCTCAATACCCTAAGCCCACCATCCCCCTATTCTTTTATCCTTTTCCCCACAACAGCTATATCTACTGTCTCATTGAAAATACAACGTTTTGGCCTCAAGCACTGTCGTAGTGAATTCCACAGGTTCAAGAAATTCTTCCTTATCTCAGTCCTAAAAAGTCTACCTCTTATCGTTAAACTAACCCCAGTCCTGGGCTCCCCCACCATCGGGAACATCCTTCCTGCATTCACCCACCATTCTTCTGAACTTCAGTGAATACAATCCTAACTAACTCAATTTCTCCTCATATGTCAGTCCTGCCACCCCAGGAGTGAATTTGTGAAACCTTCGCTGCACTCCCTCTGCAGCAAGAGCATCCCTCCTCAGAAAAGGAGGCCTAAGCTGCACACAATATTCCACGTATGGCCTCACCAATGCCCTGTATCACAGTACCAAACATCCTTGTTCCTGTACTCGAATCCTCTTGCTATGAAGGCCAACATACCGTTTGCCTTCTTTACTGCTAACTGCACTTGCATGCTTGCTTTCAGTGGCTGGTGCACAAGGACACGCAAGTCTCGTTCAACATTCACCCCTCTCAAAAAATTTGCAGCCATTCAAATAATAGCCGACCTTCCTTATTTGCTACCAATGTGATAACCTCATATTTATCCACATAATCCTGCATCTGCCATGCATTTGCCCACCATCTCAGCCTGTCCAAATCACACTACAACATCTCTGCATCCTTCTCACAGCTCACCCTTCCATCCAGCTTTGTATCATCTGCAAATATTGAGTTATTACATTTCGTTCCCTCATCTAAACCATTAACATTGCTAGGGTTCCAGTACCAACCCCTGCAGCACTCCACTAGACACTGTCCGCCATTTCAGAAGACTTTATTCCTACCCTTTGTTTCCTGTTTGCTAACCAATTTTCTATCCTTCTGAATACACTACCCTCAATCCCTCGCGCTTTAATTTTAAACATTAATCTCTTATGTGGGCCTTTGTCAAAAGCATTCTTAAAGTCCAAATGAACCGTACCCACTTGCTCCCTATGATGAACTCTACTAGTTACTTCTTCAAATAATTCCAGTAGATTTGTCAAGCATGGTTTCCCTTTTGTAAATGCATGCTGACTGTGTCTACTGTTCTACTATTGTTTTCTAAGCACTCGGTGATAAAATCCTTGATAAGACTCTAGCATCTTCCTCACTATTGACATCTGACTCACTTGTCTATAATTCACTGTTTTCTCTCCATATTCCTTTTTTAAATAGTGAGGTTACACTAGCTACTCTCCAATCTGTAGGAACAGTTCCTATAGAATCTTGGAAGATTTTGCATCCATTATTTCTAAAGCCATTTCCATAAGTACTCTGGGATGTAAATTATTAGGCCCTGCATTTACCGGCCTTCAAACCCATCAATTTCTCCAAAATCATTTTTCTATTATACTGTAGTGTTTCAGTTCCTCCCGCTCACTAAACCTCATACTCCACTATTTCTGATACGGTATTCGTGTCCTCTTTTGTGAGGACAGAAGCAAAGTATCAATTTAGATTGTCAGCCATTTCTTTGTTCCCAATGATAAATCCCCCTACTTCTGACTGTAAGGACCTACATTAGCTTCCACCAATCTTTTTCTCTTTACATACTTATAGAAACTTTTACAGTCAGTTCCCCACAAGGTTACTCTCATTCCCTATTTTCCCCCTTCTTAATCCATCCCTTGATCCTTCTTTATAGACCTTTAACCTGCTCACAATCCTCAGGTCTTCTGTTTTCTTCTTGTCAATTTGTATGCCTCTTTATGCATCTAATATTAACTCTAACTTCCCTGGTAGCCATGGTTTTGCCACTTTGCAATCTTTTATTCTCTTTGCATTCTTGGGCCAGACAGGAATAAACTATGTTTTTAGTTCACCCATTCACTCTTTCAATGTTTGCCATTACCTATCCACTGTCATTCCTTTCAGTCACATTTCCCAATCCATCACAGCTAGCTTACATCTCATATTATCATAGTTTCCTTTATTAAGATTCAGGAGCCTAGTCTCAGAATCAACCTCACTCTCCAACTTGAAGAAAAATTTTATCATATTGTGGTCGCTCATCACCAAGAGGTCTCTCACAACGACATTACCAATTATTCCTTTCTCATTGCATAATACCCAGTCTAAGAAGGCATTTTTTCTAGTTCGTTCTTCACCGTATTGGTCCAGATGACCATCCTGTAATACAGTCTAGGAATTCCTCCTCTATGGTATTGTGACTAAGGTTAAGTGAATCAAGTATCTGGAGATTGAAGTCATCCATAATTACAGATGCTCCTTTACCACATGCATTTTAATTTCCTGTTTGATGCCATTCCCAACATCACCAGTACAGTTTGCTGGGCTGTATACCAGCACCAAAAATGCTTTTTTGCCCCTTGGTATTTCTCAATTCTACCCCACAGATTCAACATTGAGGAAAGATATTGGTTCAGACAATCTTTTGTGTGTATCCTCTTTAGCAGTAATGCAACTCCACTGCCTTTTCCTTTTGTCTGTCCCTCCCAAATACCAAATATCCCTGGATTTTCAGTTCCCATCCCTGGTCATCCTGCAGCTATGTCTCCCTAATCCCAACTATACCATACCCCTCCACATCTATTTGTGCAATGAATTCATCCCCTTTATTTCAAATGCTCCGTGCGTACAGGCACAAAGCTTTAAGGATTGCCTTTTTAATGCTTCTTGTCCCATTGCCACTGTCTTTTATTGTGTCCTGTTTGAGTCTGACCTTTGATTCCTCCAGCTATCACTTATCTTATTCCTCTTTCTGTCTTTTGTTCCTATCCTTGATCCCCTTTCCTCTGACTCCTTGCATAAGTCCTCACTCCCAACCAACTTAGTTTGCTCTCCTCTACCACTCTAGCTAATAGCAATTCATGAGGCATTAGGGCTGATTCTGGTGAAGATGGGTCTTGTACAAACTGGACAGGTTGCATCCCAGCAGAACTGGGACTGATATCCTCACAGAGGCATTCACTAGTTCAGCAGGGGAGGGTTTAAACTAGAGTGGCAGGGGATAGGAATCTGAGTGAGGAGATTAGAGTAAGGGAAACAAATTTGGAAATGAAAGTAGAAAAACAAAGTAAAGACAAGGAAACAAGGGCTAGCAGCAAGTACTACAATAAGTGTAAAACGTCAAAAAGACAAGTCTAAAGGCCTTTTCTGAAGAAGGGTCCTGACCAGAAACGTCAGCTTTCCTGTTCCTCTGATGTTGCCTGGCCTGCTGTGTTCCTCCAGCTCCACACTTTGTTAAGTCTAAAGGTACTATATCTGAATGCATGGAGCATTTGTATTAAGGTAGACAAATTAATTGTGCAAATAGTTGTGCATAGGTACGATATGATTATAATTACAGAGATATGGTTGTAGGGTAATCAAGATTGGAACTCAGCATTCAAGGGCATTCAATTTTTAGCAAGGACACCCAAAAGGAAAAGGAGATAAGGTGCTGTAGTTAGTTAAAGGAGGAATCAGGGCAATTGAGGGAAAAAAACAAATCGGCTCAGGAAATTTAGATGTGGAGGGCAGTGAAAGTTCACCAGACTGATTCCTGGGTTGGCCTGTATTCACTGGAATATGAAGGATGAGAGGAAAACTCATTAAAACAAAAACAATTCTGACAGGGCTGGACAGATCGGATACAAGTACGATGCTTCCCCAGACTTGGGAATCCAGAACAAGGGGTCACAGCCTCAGGGCAGAGAGGAGGCCATGTCATATGGAGGGAAGGAGAAATTTCTTTACTCAGTGGTGAGCCTGTGGAATTCTCTGTGGTAGAAGTCGCTGAACATAATGAAGAAAGAAATAGACTTCTAGAAGGAAAAGGTGTCAATGGCTATGGGGAACGAGCAGGAGGATGACATTGTTTAACTCAATCAGCCACAATCATGTTAAATACAGCATGTGCTTAATGAGCCAAATGGCTTCCTTCTGCTCTTATTTTTGATAGTTACCCATTTTCTCTTCAAAAACCTCTATTGGGGGCATTGACAGCTCAATTCCACACTCTTAGTTAAGATAACCCAATTAAACACAATAAAAGCATCAATTTTTGGAGCTCCATTCATATCTGAGTAAATCTTGAAACCTTTGAATGAAACTGTGAAAAGTGGGAACTCATAAGGTCTAGATGATGTGTCTGAACTAGCAACTGATTATATAGGTACTGCTGTGCGAGAATGCCACGATTAGTCACTGGTATAAAGCTGGTAACGAATGAACTCACCACATGAAAACTCGAACAACCGGTCTGCAGAAACACCCGATGCTAACAGCAGCTGGTCTTTGAATTCTTCCACCTAGCAATAATAATCAGAAACATTTGTGCATTATATGATGAGTAAGTGCTTGCCTCGCTCTACTGCTCTACAAACGTCACATTGCACTATTGACTACTTTTGCTCATACTTTTGCAGCCCCTAATACTGTGCAAATTCTCAGTCTGTCCTGTGTCCTATACCCCTCAGGTGGTTTTGAAAACGTTACCTGATGTTATTAAACTATACTTTTGCTTTTCCTAGTTATCCCACTCTTTGCATTTAGAGGATTTTAGCACTGTATATTTTTCGTGCTTTACAAAAATTCAGATAAAGATACTGGGATCAACCCTGCCTCAAACTCTTCTACATATCTTTTCAGTTATGCTATCATAACATTTAGAGTGCTGGGATGTTGTTTCTACTCAAGTTGCTGATCCAAATTTAAATGACAGTTCTGAGATATAAAACAGCCCAATGATTATTGCAGTAGGCTTCAGTTCATAGGAGGTGTGTGAATTTGCCCTTTGGTTGGTATAACTGAACTATTATCCATCCAAACTGCAGGCTTTTACTGTTCCAGAATACCAACTGGAAGGCCTAATACTCATTAGCTACATTTTTTAAAAACCAAAATACTTATCCTATCCTCGATGACCATGGGAACCCCTTTTAGCTATTGCTCAATTCTATAAAATCAAACACTCTCTCTCTAACCTCTACAACTCCATAAATAATTTAAGAACTGTCTAAAACACCTTCCTGGGATGACTCAGTGGATCTGTCTAACTTTGGACTTAAAGGTCAATTTTGTCCTTGCTTCACTGTTACATGGGCTCTCAAATCAGAACCTTAAGTCAGATGTGCAGTGAGCAATATTTGATTTGATTTCATTTGATTTATTGTTGTCACATATACCAAAGTACAGTGAAAAGTTTTGTTTTGTGTGTAGCACAGGTAGATCATAACATACGAGGGCATGCAGATCATAGGATGATTCAGGCATACAGAGTTACACCTGCACAGGTGTACAAAAGCAAGATCAACATTAGATTTGAAATTTGAGTCCATTCAGCAGTCTAATTTCAGTAACAATTACAGCTAATTACTGCTGCAATCAGCTAGAATGGTTTTCTTGCTGGTCTGAAACCCCTGCCTGTAGACTCTGCACAACAGACAGTTGTGCTCAACTCACTACAGCAGTGACACAAATGTCTGAAAGGTCTTTTCATAGCAGTTTTGAAGGATTTTTCTTTAAGTGATGAAGTGTGAGGATTAAAACAGAACGGCACACATTTCTAAAGCTGTTTTCTCCCTTGCTTCCTGAAGTTGAAAGGATATTTGCTTTATTTTTTCATGAGGTCTAGGTGTTACCGACATGATCATACTTTCGAGAAGGCTCCATTGGCATTTCAGCCAGGACGCTATGTTGCATATATAGGACCAGAGGTGGACGACACTCAAACGTGATGATCTGACTTGAAGCCCATGTGTGCTCACATACACAAATGGAACAGGGTTTCTAGCAGGAATCACTGGATATCAGCCTTCTACTAAATTTAAACTTTACTCATTTGCATGAGGAAGCACTTACCGGTTGCATTGTGCCACCAGCGATGACCACTGCTCGACATTCCTTCACTACCTCAGCAAAGTGGACTGCTGGATTCAACAGTAAGAACTTCAGGCTGCTCTGGGACACTGTACCTACAGGACACACACCCAAGTTCAAACATGACCCCGGCTCAAAACAACACTGAATCAATCAGCTCAAGCCACTAGTCCTTCACATCTGCCATCTGATTCTGCTGAAGTGGCCCCAGACACACATTGACTCGCCTTTTCTCTATCAGTTGGTGGACAGGTGTGAACACAGCCAATGTTTTCCTGCTCTTGTTATCGTGAGGCAAGTGTCCTGGAGAGTGGAGAACTGGGAAAGGAAACCACGGAGAAACTGAGGATATCACAGCAAGTGCAAGCATGGCCTTCTGACAGTTAACGTTTGAAAGACATGAATCTAAAAGGCAATTGAGAAATGTAGCCAAGTATTTCATGAACAGACAACTGGATTGGTGATGTTAGACAGACAGATGTAGTAGACATCTTCCATGATGCAGGTTACCAGAGTTTAAGATGAATGACCAGTCAAATTGCTTTTGTTGTGCTGGTTGAGGTAAAATTACAGATAAAACACCAAATCATGCCAGTGAACAGGCAGAAGTCTTCTCAATAGTAAAGCAGCGCTCCCTCAGTTGTGTGCTGGTATGCAAGTCTAGAACATCCTCAGAGCCTGGCTATGGAGTTAACTTAAATGAAGCTTGGATAGAATCTTTGTTGGGTAAAAGTCTCGGCTAAACCAATAGATGGGGTAGTACTGCCAGCTGTGGATGCCTGACGAAAAATGTACAAAAATCCTCCAACCTATCAGACAGAATGATGAGTGTATATTAACAGAAACATGTCATCAGCACCACACACAGTAAGGACTGTCATTAGGAAGACGAGGGTCTTTGTGAAGGATACCAGTACAAAATAAGCAGCATGACTCAGGATTTGGAATGTCAAATATGGCTCTGTAAGTGGATTGGAGGAGAAAGGGATGTGAGGAGCTGCCTGCTTTTATGGTGCTGGGGAGGACAGGAGAAAGAAAAAGAGAATATTTTAAAGAGGGGAATAATGAGGAGAAAGGGGGCATGAGGAAGCAGGTTTGCAATCGTGGATCAAATGAAAAGAGAGAGTTTAGAGAGCCAAGAATTATAGCAACGTTACTGTAAGTGGGACAAGAAGAAGTACAAGAAAGAGGAGGATTCAGTGAAAAAAAAATTCCTCACTGGATGACAGGCTTTCCTTTATCTCATCTAGCAAGATGGAAGATGTTAGAGGAACCTCGCTACAGAACGCAACATGGCAGAAATTTTGGAAACACTTGTGTTTTATACAGAGTTAAGAGCTTTTGATGTGAAAAGAGTGCTTGTGCAAATAAGAAGTTCTTGGAGGCAGCTTTAGCAACGGAGAGGTGATTACAGAAGATAGTGAGACTGTCAGCACCAAACAATAAAATTATAAAGACATCAGACAGAAAAATGAGAATAGAATAGCAGTTAACATCAAAGGAAACCCAAAAGATCTATAGTTGTGAAAACTATAAGCTATTATTAATGTAAAGGGTGATCCTAAGAATCCTAACCAACCTGCTCAGACGTATTATGACACAGCTCTGGGGCAGGTGGGAGTGGACGCTGGCCCAGCCAGCAACACCCACCTGGAGTGAATAAAAACAAAACACGGAGAAAGGGACTCATTAGACTGCTCTGCAGAACCAGTTGAGACTCGATGGGTAGAATGGCCTCCTTCAGTGTTGTAATGACTCAAAGGTTATTTAGAATGTACTCAGTGGGGGCTAACCTAAGCAATTTCATTTCTGACTTTCAGGAATGAAGGTGATCAATATGTAATTGCTGAGAAGCCACACGAGGAATTGAGAACATGAGTAATGAGCAATCACAAGGGAGTTAGACCTTTTTATTTGCTCATGGGATGTGGGTGCCACCGGCTGGGCCAGCATTTATTGCCCATCTCTAGTTGCCCTTAGTGAGCTGCCTTCTTAAATTGCTGCAGTTCATGTGCTGTAGATTGACCCACAATACCCTTAAGGAGGAAATTCCAGGATTTTGACCCAGTGACAGTGAAGGAGCAGCAATATATTTTCAAGTCAGGATGGGGAGTGGTTTGGAGGGGAAGTGGTGTTCCAATCTTTGTAGGTAGTGGTGTTCCAATCTTTTTTGCTGCCTTTGTCCTTCTAGATGGAAGTGGTCATGGCTTTGGAAGGTGCTGTCCAAGGATGTTTGGTGAATTTCTGCAGTGCATCTTGTAGAAGATGCACACTGTTGCTCCAGGATATTGGTGTCGGAGGGAGGAGTGAATGCTTGTGGATGTGATGCCAATCATTCGGGCTGCTATGTCCTGGATGGTGAAGAACTTCTTGAGTGTTACTGGAGCTGCACACATCTAGGCAAATGGGGAGTATTCCATCACACCCTGACTTGTGCCTTGTAGATGGCAGACAGACTTTGGGGAATCTGAAAATGGAATGTAGTTTGGACAAAAAAAGCAGAAGAGGTCACCAATATGAAAAAGTATGGACTAAAGTTTAAAAAAAAAGGGGCTCGCAGTTACAACCACAGGAAATCCCAAAGCACCTTAACGGCCAATGAACTTTTAAATTATAATCACTACTGTTTGTGGGAAATTTAGCAGTTAATACAACAAGCCCCATGAACAGGAATGCAATTATGACTAGACAATCTATCTCTTTGATGATTGAAGGGTAAATATTGTCCAGGATACCCAGAATAATTGCCTTGAAAACAATAAATGCTGGAGGTCACAGCAGGTCAGGCAGCATCCACGGAGAGAGAGCAAGCTAACGTTTCAAGTCTAGATGACTTCATCAGAGCTGACGTGAAGTGTGGAGGGAGCAGCTAATAACTGCCTTGTTCCTCTTTAAAGTTGTGTTACAGTAAGTTTTATATCCACCTGCAAGAGGCCACAATTGAAACTCTCATCTGACAGGTGTCATCTCCAATAGTGCAGCGTTTCATCAGTACAGTACTGAAGTCTCAGTCTAGGATTCTTGCTCAAGTCTTGAATTTAGACTTGGATTCACGGTATCGTGAATCCGAGGTGAGAATACTTGCAGTGGGTCATGGCTGCAGTAGGACGGACAGACAACGGATGAGCTCCAAAATTAAGCAGAGGTGAAGTGTATTGAGCAGGAGGTAACTGAACAGTAAAAGGCAAATAACATGACTGTCTTTTCACCCAATCGAAATAAACCAAACAACGAAAGATGTGGAATTTGTATGAGACACATCTCATGCCTACCTTGTTTCTGAATGACCACTCGTCCATCTTTGTTAGTGCTGGTGAGAGCAAAAAGAAACCCTTCAACCTGCATCATCGGAGATGCCATGACAGGCTGCTCCTTCTTGATGTCCTCTTCCCGCTCATGGGGTGTAACTACCAAATAAACAACAGATCAAATAAATGGTCAGAAATACAAAACAGAAACTGAGCACTTTGATCCAGTTAGCAGCAGAGGCAGACAACGATTCACAGAAATATTTGCCAGGATCCATCCCAACTGTAATAAATTAGTTTCTCTGATCTGGATTTTAGTTTTGTCTTTCACACACCCAAATGGTTTCTTTCTTCCTGTTCTGAAGGTGCTGACTGGCATGGGGTAATTTCCACAGGACAGCTACTTTCGTGTCGGGGTCTGACCCTGAAGCAGAGAGTCTGCTCTCAGGACTCCATACTCATATATAAAACCATCAAATATAGGAGCAGAATTCAGCCATTCGGCCCATCAAGTCTGTTCTGCCATTGGATCATGGCTAACACATTTCTCAAGCCCATTCTCCCTCTAACCCTCGATTCCTTTACTAATCAAGAACCTATCTATCTCTGTCTTAAATACACTCCATGACTTGGCCTCCACAGCCCGCTAAGGCAATGAGTTCCACAGATTCGCCACCCTCTGGCTAAAGAATCTGTTCCTCATCTCAGTTCTAAAGGATCGTCCTCTCACTCCGCGACTGTGCCCTTGGGTCCTAGTCTCTCCTTCTTCCATGTCCACTCTATCCAGGCCTCTTGGTATTCTGTAAGTTCACTGAGATTCTCCTTCATCCTTCCAAACTCCAAATGCAGACCCCCAGAGACCTCAATGCTCCTCATGTGACAAACCCTTGCCCCCCGCCCCCAGGATCATTCTTGTAAACTTCCTCTAGATTCTCTCCAATGCAAGAACATTGTGGATTGGCCATGCTAAATTGCCCGTAGTGTCCAGGGGTGTAGGTTAGGTGGATTAGCCATGGGAAATGCAGGGTTATAGGGAAGGGTAGGGGGATGGGTCTGGGTGGGATGCTCTTCAGAGGGTCGGCGTGGACTTATTGGGCCGATTGGCATGCTTCCACACTGTGGGGATTCTATGATCCTTCCTTAGATATGGGGCCCAAAACTGCCCACAGTATTCCAAATGTGGTCTCAGAGCCTTATACAGTCTCAGCAGTACATCCCTGCTCTTCTATTCTAGTCCTCTTGAAATGAGAGCTTCCTAATTGCCAACGGAACCTGCATGATAATCTTAAGAGAATCCTGAACTAGGACTCCCAAGTCCCTTTGTGCTTCAGGTTTCTGAAGCCTTTCCCATTTAGAAAATAGTGTATGCCTCTATTGTTCCTACCACAGTGCACAACCTCACACTTTCCCACATCGTGTTTCATCTGCCACTTCTGTGCCCACTCTCCTAGTCTGTTCAAGTTCTTCCGCAGCTCCCTGCCTCCTCAACATTACCTGACCCTCCACCTATCTTTGTCATCTGCAAATTTAGCAACAATGCCCTCAGTTCCTTTGGCTGCTTCCAAGACACAATCAGACACCACATTATGATGACAGGTGACTAAAAGTTGGTTAAGCGATAAATTTCAGCGAAGCTGGGTTCAGTCGGAACAGGGAGACAAAGGAACAGGAAATAGGTGTCCTGGATCAGATGAACTTAAAGAGGTCACTACAGGAAATAGGACAAACTAAATAAAGAGGCAAACTTAAGACTGGAGCAAGAGGACAGGAATCTCAAGGATTCTTTTAGTGGCAGAAGACTTTAAACTTAACAGCAAATATATGAACTCCTCGTACTTGAGAGAGAAGATGTGTGTAAAGAAAACTCTAATGGGTGCCAGGACTGCATTCCAGGATGGTCCTGATGTTTTTAAAATTCACTCAGAGAGAATGTTGACCTCACTGGCTGTATCAGCATTTATTGCCCTTGAGAAGGTGGTGGTGAGCTGCCTTCTTGAAACCCTGCAATTCATTTGGTTTAGATACCTCCATACTCCATGTGAGGGAGGGAGTCCCAGAGTTTTGATCCAGCAACACTGAAGGATGGTGATCTATTTCAAAGTCAGGACGGCAAGTGGTATTGTTGCTAAGTGTCTTGTAGATGGTGCCCATTGATGCTACAGTTCGTCAGTATTTGTGGATGTGGCCAAACAAGTGGGCTGCTTCGTCCTGATAGTGCCAAGCTTCTGAGTGTCGTTGGAGCTGCATTTTCCAAGCAAGTGGGAAGCATTTCATTTTACTTCTGACCCGAGCCTTGTAGATTGTGGACAGGCTTTGGGGAGGCGGGAGGCGTGTTACTTGCTGCAGGATTCCTAACCTCTGACCTGCTCTTGTAGCTACTGTATTTCTGTCTAGTTCAGCTTAGTTTCTGCTTCAAGGTAACCCCCAAGATGTTGACAGGGGGGGATTCAGCCATAGCAATACCACTGAGCATCAAGGAGAAATAGTTAGAATCTCTCTTGTTGGGGATGGTAATTGTAACTAGTTAACGTAACTGCATCATTGATCTAGAGCATGATTCTTATTTTGGGAATATGTAGGTAGCACGAAAAATCCCAGGTTCAAATCCTGGATGAGACCACCCGATCTTTATTGAAAAACAGTTAGATATATAAATCCCCAGGGCCTGATGGGATCTATCCCAAGATACTGAAGGAGGTAAGGGAGAAAATTGCTGGGGCCTTGACAGAGATCATTATGTGCTCTTCAGCCAGAGTGGAGGTCCCAGAAGACTGGAAAATAGCTCAAATTGTCCATTTGTTTAAGAAGGGCAACAAGGATTATCCAGGAAATCATAGGTCACTGATTCTTATATCAGTGGTAGGGAAATTATTGAAGAAGATTCTTAGGGACAGGATCTTCTTGCATTTGGGGAAGAATGGACTTATTTGGGATAGTCAGCATGGCTTTATGTGGAGGAGATTTTGTTTCACAAAACTGAGTTTTTTGAGGAAGTGATTAAGGATAGTTGATGAGGGTAAGGCAGTGAACGTTGCATACATGGACTCTATTAAAGCACTTGACAAGGTCCCTCATAGTAGGCTGGTCCAATAGATCAAACTGCATGGGATCCATGGTGAGTTAGCAAACTGGATACAAAATTGGCTTGGTCATGGAAGACAGAGGGTAGTCGTGGAGAGACGTTTTTCTGACTGGAGATCTATGACCAGTGATGTTCCATAAGGATCAGTACTGGGATTTGGATGACAATTGTAGGTGGTCTCCTTAATAAGCCTGCAGACAAGACGAGAATTGGTGGAGTTGTTAATAGTGAGAATGGTTATCAAAGGATACTGCAGAATATAGATCAGCTAGAAGGCTGGGCAGAAGAAATGGCAGATGCAGTTTAATCTCGGCAAGTGTGAGGTGATGTGTTTTGGGACATCAAATGCAAGAGGAAAGTAGACAGTAAGTGGCCGTTAGGAGCACTGATGTACAGAGGGATCTTGAGGTCCAGTCCGTAGCTCCCTGAAAGTTGCAACACACAAGTGAATAAAGTGGTAAAGAAGGTGTATGACATGTTTGCCTTCATCAGTCCAGGCATTGAGTATAAGAGCTTGCAAGTCATGTTGCAGCTGTACAAGATTTTAGTTAGGTCACATCTGGAGTATTGTATGCATTTCTGCCAACCATACAATAGGAAGAATGCGGAGGCTTTGGAGAGAATGCAAAAAAGGTTTACCAGGATGTTGCCTGGATTGGAATGTATTAGCTAAAAAGGAGAAGTTGGGCAAACTTGGATTGTTTTTTGTTACAGTATCAGAGACTGTGGGGTGACCTGATAGAAGTATATAAAATTATGAGATGAATAAATGGTGTGGATAGTCAGACTCAACTTCCCAGGGTGGAAATGTGAAATACGAGGGAGCATAGTTTTAAGCTGAGAGGGGAGAAGTTTTTTTTTACATAGTGGGTAGTAGGTGCCTGGACTATGTTGCCAGAAGCAGTTACAATGGCAAAGTTTAAGAGGCATTTCGACAGACACGCGCACAGGCAGGTAATAGAGGGATACAGGTAGATGGGATTAATTTAAAATGGCATCATGGCTGGCACAGACACGATGGGCCGAAAGGCCTGTTCTGTGCTGTACTGTTCTATGTTCCATATGTAATTGCCAGCATGATCAAAAATTGAGCAGAGTGGCCATAAGAGATGCCCAGGGTCAGAAATGCATCTTGCAAATATGGGTAGGTAATATTGAAGGACGGTATTAAAACACAACAGTAAACTCAGAACAGACAATACAAGTTTGGATCCAGGTTGAAACCTGAGGATGAGAAGTTTGTTGGTGCAAAGACTGAAGGAAGAAATCAGTGAGGATTTCTCAATGAGAAACATTCTGCTCGACTTGCGAATCCTGTAAAAATATTGATTTAATGGGAAAGAGGGGATGAATCAAGGTGAGGTACTCACAGGAGAAGAAAGTGTTAAAGGAGAAAGGGGAATACCTAGATACAAATTGCTGGTGAGGGTTACAATGTCACACCACGGGTGGGGATGGTGGTTGGCACAGCCAGGGATGAAACTTCAGCAAGGAGCAAGATGGTGTCAGAGGGGCTTCTGTCAAGTTAATGCAATCATCAACAATAAAAGGTCATAGATGATAAAAAGCCTCATTTGTTAGTGAACAGATATTCCGGAGGCTTGATTTAATATTGGTGCTACAAGATATGATTTTGGCTGAATCAGACAAGATATCCACTTCCAATAGACTGGAAGTTCATTCACAAAACCGTCACTGATAATTTCAGTTCTCAATAGTATCCAGTCAAATTTAATTCATCAACAAGTCATCTTGTCATTTTTGACTACAGTAGCTTGAATTTTAACAACCTATTGACTCAAGTCTTCTGCAGTCCTGTACTCACAGTGTATTGTAATTACTTCCCAGTAACGCATAACCTAAACTGCAAAACATATGAAGATTGTGCATAGGAACAAACTAGTTTCAGGACTGGAGCTAAATGGCTTAGCACATCTCACTGAGAATAGAAACACCATAACCAGACACTGCAAAGTTAGACACAGACCTTGTCCGGTGGGTTTCTCATTGAGCTTCTGAAGAAAATTCTCAAGAGCTGTTGTTTTGGATGCCTTTTGATCCTGTGTGTTGTTTGGTTTTGACACTGAAACCTGGTACTTCTCCACAAACCCAAAGAGCTGTGGAATGAAGGTAGCCAGTAAAATATCTGTGGTACAAACAGTGGTGCATATAAAAAAAATTTACTGGAAATAAAGAAAAAGATTGTTATCTAAATGAACATCCAACACTGCTCACAACCATCTCAGAGCTTCTCATGTATACAAGGACATTTAGTGACCTTGTGGTCAAAGAGTTCAGAGGACTGGCACTCCATATAATGGCCTGATCTCTAATCTCTTTGAATACAGCACTTGCTGAATTGACCCATTTGTGATTACTATGAAGTTTAATTTATAATAGGGCAGAGATGGCACCGACTTGCACATTTAGATCTCTGAGCAGATATTGTAAAATACATTCTACCTAACACACCCAGAACAGGTTAGATATAGACATGAAAACTCTCATGAACAGCACGAAACATGATTTCTGAATTTCAGTCATGATTTATGGCAGGGTCTTCTAATTTGACCACTTGATTTCTTTTCTAAACACAAGCAAGTGCTCACTAAAGAGGCCAGGGATTTTTCCAAAGTTGACCAGGATTGTAATTCTGGAAGTCATGGGATCTACTGCTCCTGCTGGACTGTGATCAGTCTTGGATGCAGCAGCTTACATACTGAAGTTTACAGACCTCTGTAGCTCAGGAGAGAATTGAGGAGATTTGCAAAATAATCTGTCCCAGCAGATGAGAGAGAAAAATGCTAGAAAATTAAAATGAGAAGCTGCCCATTTTATACAGTTAATGTTGGTTTAAGAGTTTGTCCTGCACAAGTAACTGACAAGCTGTCCAACTCTTAAGCACCCAAAAAACTTGACCTTCTTCATGGTGGAAGCAGGGAATTGCATAATTACTTTCTCGTGGAGGGGAGAAAAGCTTCTCTTAAAAAACACTTCACAAAACGTGGGCTAGGTCACTAGCTGAATTTTCCTGTAGGCAGTGAAATACTTCCTTGAACTGTTGCGGTCCGTGGAGGGTTGGTAAACCCACAGCATTGTTATAATTCTGGAATGCACTGCCTGGGACTGTGGTGGAAGCAGCTTCAATCAAGGCAAAATTGAGAGCAGTGGATGATTATGTAAATAGAAAAAATATCCATCATTATGGAGAACGGTAGGTGGATAATACTAAGTCACAATCCTCTTTCGGACAGCCGGTGCCGATATGAAGGGCAAAATGGTTTCCTTCTGCTCGTTAATAATTGTGCCAAATAGAATGCATTCAATTTGGACTCAAAGTACCTTTACAACAATGCCTGGCCTGCTGGATCACTTCAGCACTTTTTGTTTGGCTAATCCCTGTTTGATTCCTGTAATTGTGGAAAAGCTGCTGATTGAACTTGCTGGAATTTTGAAAATTCCTTGATGATTAAATAATACTGCAAACTGGGCTGGGTTTGCACAGGCATGTAAAACATTCCCAAGATTGTCATGTTCATTTCAGTTCTCTGACAGAATTGGAGCCAAGGAAGGTTGGAATGTTTATGGGACTTTTACAAAATAATATTTTGCTTTGAGTTTGTTAAACATCAAAACATGGAACAACTGCCCTGTTAATTTTGTAACCACACTGATATTCTATTTCTACTTTGTCTCGCCTGTCTGATCACAGTTTGCATCAATGAAATAGTTCACAAATTACTATTTCAAGCAACTGTCCGTTCACTTAAAAACATTGTAAGATATAAATTTACATGGAATACCTTGAAAAATATACACCCTGTAGTATTATAATTCAGTTTGGAAGCTGTCAGTGGTTACTAATTCATTTCAAAACTGTTTCTTCAACCAAAGAAAGGTTTGAGCACTGTGTTCATGATCAGTCCTGCATGGGCTTTGACCACTGTAAAATTTCTAAGATTTTATTGATGTGGAGATGCCAGTATTGGACAGGGTTGGACAAAGTCAGAAGTCACACACACCAGGTTCTAGTCCAACAGGTTTATGTGAAATCACAAGCTTTCGGAATGCTGCTCCTTCATCAGGTGGAGACCGCCTGACTTCACCTGATGAAGGAGCAGCATTCCGAAAGCTTGTGATTTCAAATAAGCCTGTTGGACTAGAACCTGGTCTCGTATGAATTCTGATGAAGTTTTTATTCACCTACTCTCAATAGTTTATATTTCACTATAGAAAAACAGCAAAAGATTTGCATGGCTCAAAGCAGCCACTACCGGAGAAACTACTTATGGGTTTTGCAGTCAGCAGTCTATCCAGCTCCAAATGTGTTTTTCTTTTCAGTTCAGTACAATTGCTAGTGGATCACTGAACCAGGATTCCGTTTATATTTCAGTTTAGATATTGCTTAGATTTCTACATTTTATTTTCCCTTGAAGGCTAGTAAGGTGACAAAGCCATTAATATTTGACAGGTGATTATTTTTTGTTGGACAACTCTGTATCACTTCCCAGTTTTACTTCCAAATTGCTTTAAGTTTAGAAAAGTACCAGCTTGTAACAACTTGTATACAAAAATCGCCTGCTTTTTAAATCTCTGGCTTAATTCACAATTGGTGGGGCTGGCTTTACTGGATAGAGAAAAGCTCCCCCTGTCCTCTTCAGAGCAGGTACAGCACAGGTTAGATACAGCTGACATGAGATAATCTAGCCTAGGACAGTAAGTAAAGGGTTCTAAGAAAGTGCTATGTCTGACTTTAGCAGGACTAGAGAGATGTTTAAAAAGAGACACTCCAAACTCTAAGAGCTAGGCAATAAACAGGCACTGACCTTTCGACTGAGCATGCTCTTCATATAATAGTGCTGCACCTGGTTAACAAAAAGAGAGCAAACTGAATAAATACACGGCAAGTTCACATGAACAGCACGTCTGAGATTCATAAGAAGGGTCAGGAATGATCTTCAGTTCAGGCAGAGATCTTAGACTCAGCCACCACAAACACACAATGAACCCCCACCCAGCAACTATTCTTTCCTTCCTCACCCAAAACGGCCAATATCTTAGAATCTAACAGCGCAGGAGACCATTTGACCCATCTTTGAAAGAGGCATCCAATTAATCCAGCCCCCCTGTTCTTTCCCTACAGCCATTCAAATATATGACCAACTCCTCTTCAATACTTTAGGAAGTTTCGAGGAGCATAGAAATTACAGGAGTGAAGTGAAAAAGGAAATTGGCAAAGAAAAAAAGAGAAGGTAGGAAAAACAAAACTGTCTGATAAAATTAAAAGAAAATCCAAAGATGCTTTATCATACATCAAATTGGGCCTATCAGGTCTGCAAGATAATGTGTATGAATGTAGAAGAGGTGAGCAGAGATCGTGATGAGTATTTTATCTTTGTCTTCACAAAGGAGAGGGATGATGCAGACATTACAGTTAAACAGGAGGAGAGTGAAATACTAGATAGAATAAGCATAATGAGAAGTACATGAAGGATTGATCTACTCAAAAGGATAGATCAACAAATTTGGATGAATTGCACCCTAGGCTGTTAAACGAAGCCAGGTACAAAATAGCAGACGCTCTGTGAATCACATTCCGATCCTCACTAGACACCAGAGGACTGAAGTTTTGCAAACCTTGTACGACTTCAAAATGGATGCGAGGGACTAGCCAAATAATTACAGGCAGGTCAGCCTGACAATGGTGAGCAAATTACTGGAATTAGTATTGAGGTGGGACTAACTATTATTCAGAGATGGTCAGCATGGTTTTGTTAAGAGATGATTGTGTCATACTGACATAATTTAAATTTTTGAAGAAGTAACAAGGAGGCTTGTTGAGGTTATGCAGCGAATGTTGTCTACATGGATCTATGCAAGGAATTTGACAAGGTTCCGCACAGCAGACTTAAGAAAAATTAAAGCCCACAGGATAGAATGGAAATGGGAAGATGGATGCAAATTTGGTTCAGTGATAGAAAACAAAAGATAATGGTCAACAGAAAATTTTGTGAATCATAGAATCCCTGCAGTGTGGAAGCAGGCCATTTCAGCCCATTGAGTCCACATTGACTCTCCAAAGAGCAGCCTAACCAGACCCAACCCCCTTCCCTATCGGTGTAACTCCACATTTCCCATAGCTAATCCACCTAGCCTGCATATCTTTGGACTGTGGGAGGAAATCAAAGCACCCGACGGAAACCCATGAAGACACGAGGAGAATATGAATGGAAAGCAGTTTCTGGTCATGTTCCACAGGTTTCAGTTTTCGGTTCCTTGTCGCTCGTGATAATACATTAATGCTTTATACTTCAGTGTGGAGGTATGATTGGGAAATTTTCAAACAACACAAAAACTGGCCAAACACTTGATAGTAAAGAGGATGGCTGTCAATTACAGGATTATATCAACAGTTTACTTGAATAAGTGGCAAAGTGGCAAATAGAATTCAATCCAGGGAAATGAAAAGTTACGCATTTGGAAAGGACAAACAAAGCAAGGGAATGCATGGTAAATGGGAGGGTACTGGCAGGAGTAGAGCAAGTGAATATGTGTCCACAAGTTCCAAAATGGGTAAGGTAAGGTGGTAAAGAAGGCACATGGGATACTTTTGGAGGAGGCATTGAATACAAAAGCAGGGATCTAATGCTGGAATTAGTTAGACACTGGTTAGGCCACAGATGGAGTTATGTACAGTTTTGGTCACCACATTAAAGGAAGTACACAATTGCTCTGAAGACAGTATACAGGAGGGTACAAGAATGTTGCTAGAGCATGAAAACTGCAACTATTACCAAAGATTGGATAGGCTTGGATTGATTTGATTTCCTTACCACAGAAGAAGCTGAGGGGTGAATTAATTGAGGCGTACAAATACTGGGGGCCTTGGATAGAGTGGACAGGAAGACTTTTTTCTGCTAACGGAGAGGTCAGGTACCGAGGAACACAGATTTAAGGTGATTGGGAGAAGTATTAAATATTCATGAGGAGAAACTTTTCACCCAAAGGGTGGTCGGTGTCTGGAATTCACTGCCCACTTTGGTGGTTGAGGCAGAAACCCTCGAATCATTTAAAAGGAATCTGGATCTGCACCTAAAGCACTATAACTTGTAAAGGCCAAGGATCAGGTGCTAGAAAGTGGAATTAGAATGGGTGACTAGTTCATTTAGCTGCTGCAGGTACCATGGGTTTAAGAGCCTCTTTCTGTGGTTTCAAGGTATTACTGAATCTGCTTCTATTACTCTGTAAATCTGTAAGCTTTGTAATACCATTTAAATGGATAAGCAGATAAACTGAAAGTGGGGACAACTGAGGAATATGGTTCTGTGAGGGAGAAATTCCAACTAATATTGAGAGATGAGGTCCATTTTCAGATTTGATGGACAACAGAAGACCAGCTGATCCACACAGCTCATCCCATACACAGTTAGTGCTGGAGCGAGGTTGGCTGTGCCTTCCTACTCAGAAGGTGTATGGTAATTTGGGACGCAAATTTTAGGAGTGAGCAAATTAGATCGATTCAAACAACACACTGAAACCTAAACAGACCCCCAAGATCAAAACCAGTCACAGCTGGTCAGGATTAGAATCCCAACTGATGGTAACAGTGAACAAAATCAATCCCAAAGTGAAACTTGACTTGAAAGATTGTAAGATTAAATTTTGCAGTTGGTTACTGTGGTGGTTAATTGCTAAATGTATGAGCTGCCAATGTTCTTTAATAAAAGAGTGCAAGTTTGTTCCACAAAAGGAAAACAGAACAAAGTAAACAGTAGTTTAGAAAGACCTCATCACCAGCAAAAAGAACAAATCAACCTTTTTCTCCACAAATATGCTTTCCAGAAACTCAAACCAGTGTAGGGTCACTTCTGTTTTAACTTTAATTTCTTACTTAACTGACTCTTCCCAGCTTTAATGGCCTGAAGACTTCTTTCTAGCTACGATGGTCCAATCTCTTTTCAGTTCTGAAGCCTTGAACCTTCAACATGAAATACTCTCACAAACCAAAACCCCCTGTGGTTTGGGTGAAACCTCTATGAATTGAAAAATCCAATTTTTCTGAACTGAACTCAAACATTAATGGCCCCTGGTCTGTTTTTTCTTGTCTGACAAAATTTTCACTTTGTAAAGACTTCATCAATTAAGACCACAGCTATCTGGCTCGACACTCACTAGGTCGCACGCTTTCTTGGAAATGATGTTTTAGGTCACTTTTCCAAATTACTTTCTAACCACTTAAAGAATGTCATTTTCACAGAACTGAAACTAGAATCCATCTGCCTTCACATTAAAAATCTAAATTCCCAAATTATAAGAATACAACCTTTATCACACCAGTCTCAGGCAGGTTAACACCAGGGGTCAATTGTCAATATCATCACGAGCAATTAATATGGGGCAGGGGGTGATGCATTAAACCGGACCTCCATACTTCAACACACATAAAAGTGACTTACTTTAAACATGTTGATGTTGTCAAACTGTGCACGAAAGAGGAAATCATTGATCGAGTGTAACTCAGTGCCTTTGAAAAATAGACAGAAAAGCAAAAAGGATTTTGAAGTCAAGGTGTATTTTCAAAACAAAAATCAGTAATCCTATGGACTGTCCTAAATGTAGAGCTGTAAACAGTACTGTTAAGGTTAAGCTGTCTACTACATATACAAAGAGGAGCCTAACTCTGAAAATAAAATGGATCTGCAGCTCAATTTCATTCCTCCATATTTCCTTATTTAATAAGAAATGATCAATCTCTACTTTGGAAGCTTCCTGAACATCTACCCCTACATTGGGCTAACAGAGTTCCAGATTTCGACACCCTTTACATGTGGACAAAAGGGTGTTTCCTTATTTCACTCCTAATTGAAATGTTAGATAGGTATATCTTGTTCTGGATTCCTCTAATATACACCCTTTGAAATCAGTTAATCATTTAAAATACCTTTTTCATAGAATTATTCTTTCACAGGAAGGGTGTTGTATGATTTTGATCCAGTTGGACCAAAGGCATGGTAAGATATTTCCAACTCAGGGTCATGTGTGGCTTGGATGGCAACTTGCAGATAGTGGTGTTCCCACGTGCCCACTGCTCCTGACCTTCTACTTGGGACAGTTTGTGGATTTGGAAATTTGCTGTCAAATGGAACCTTGTGAGTTGCTACAGTGTGCTTACTGCTGCCACTGTGCATTGGTGGTGAAGTGAACATTTAATACATGGGTACAGTTCTGATGAAGTGGACACCTCCATCCTGGCTGTCATCAAGCTTCTCAAGTGTTGCTGAAGCTGAATTCATCCAAGTAAGAGGGAAGAATTCCATCACACTCCTGACTTGTGCCTTGGAGATGGCGGACAGTCAATGCAGAGTGAGGGGGTGAGCTACTTGCAGCAGAATTCCTAGATTTTGACCTGCTCTTGAAACCACTGTGTTTAAATAGCTGACCTAGTTCAATCAATGGTAACCCCCAAGATGTTGATGGGGGAATTCAATGATGGTAATGCCACTGAATGTCATGGTGATATGTTTGGACTCTGTCTTGGGCACTGCTCAACATTTCAGTGGCTTAAATTTAATACACCTATAGAACATCACTCAGCCTTCTAAACTCAGAAATGCAGTGTTCAGATCTTAACAGTTTCCCCAGATAAGGTTGACCAACATTCTGGATCAAACCAAAGTCACCTTTGAGAAAAGCAATTGGCCAGAAGCAGTGACCTGCCTTAAAGCAAGGCCAGAAGCACTGGATAACTGAAGGAAGGACAGACTTTTTATATCTTCAAAGTAAGCAGTTTAGAATATTCTGTTGTGTTCAAAGTGCTCAGTCACCTACCACCCTGAAAAATCTTCTGTGTGTTCGGATTTTGTCCAACCTTCCCTGATTAATCACAAAATAAGAGAATTAGTAAAAAGATCAAGCCCATAAAGGAAATACAAACAATAAAAAGTGGACTATAAAGGCAGGAACCCAAATATTCAGTGGTTGGGATTCTGGGTAAATTATAAAGCTGACGAAGTGTAGGTCTCCTCCCCTGCTGGCTGGAAGGCCTTATGTAAAGTGAGTTTGGATAATCCCAACCCACAAACTAGAAGGCATAGGCTCAAAAAGACTAGAGTAGCTTAAATTAAGACTAACTAGTGATAAAAATCTATTATATTTCTAATGTTTACTCGATTTCTCTCTGCACAGATGCTACCAGACCTGCTGAGTTTCTCCAACATTTTCTGTTTCTATTTCAAGAGCAAACAGCAGCATTTTGCTCTGGAACTGGCCTAGGATCCCTGAAGTGGGAAATACTGCAGGAGGGAGCATACAGACATTCATACAAACTCAGGGCAAGAGGCCATTCAGCCCCTTATGTCTGCCCCGCCATTCAAAAAGAACATGGCTGATCTGACCGTCATCGCAAATTCACATCTCACTTGTTCTTGATAACCTTTCAACCCCTTGTTTAACTTTAACAAGAATCTATCTTCCTCTGCCTTAAAAATATCCAAGGACTCTGCTTCCATCACCTCTTCGAGAAGAGAATTGCAAAGGCTCATGTCCTTCAGAAAAAGTCCAATTTTTAATGTTTTAAACGGGTAACTGATTTTCAAACAGTGACTCCTATCTGTAGATTCTTGCATAAAAGGGAATATTCTCTCCATGTTTAACCTTCTAACTCCAGTGGATACAATCTTTTCACATAAGATAAACCTCCTGTTCCAGGTATGACAGATAGTAGGAACTGCAGATGCTGGAGAATCTGAGATAACAAGGTGTAGAGCTGGATGAACACAGCAAGCCAAGCAGCATCAGAGGAGCAGGAAGGCTGACGTTTCGGGCCTTCCTGCTCCTCTGATGCTGCTTGGCCAGCTCTACACCTTGTTCCAGGTATGAGTTTGGCAAACCTTCCCATTTGTTTCCAGTGCATTTACATCCTTTCTTAAAATGAGGAGACCAATATTGTGCACTGTACTCCAGATGCAATCTCATTAGTACCCTGTATAACTGAAACATAACCTTTTTACTTTTGTAGTCAATTCTCCTTGCGATAAGTAATAACATTCCACCAGCAGTCTTAATTACTTCCACTACTTCATAGCAACTTTTTACGGTTCATGCACGAGGGCATCCAGATTCCTCTTCATCTCAAGCGTGTACGATCTCTCACCATTTAGACATTCTTTGTCATTCTTCCTCCCAAAATAGACACTCAATTTGCCACACACTTGCCTGATCACATTACCCATTCATATATTTTCATCAGCTCCTTATGTCCTCTTCAAAACTTAATTTGCTGTCTTTGTGTCCTCACCAAATTTGACAATTATACTTTCTGTCACTTCATCTAAGTTGTTTGCATAAGTTGTAAACAGTTGAGATCCCAGCACTGATCTTTATGGCACACTGCTCATTACATCTTGCCAACCTACAAAAGATCCATTGTGTGAACTCTCTGCTTCCTGCTAGTCAGTCAATTTTGTAACCATGACAACATGCCACATCTATGAGCTTTAATTTTCCTTCTCAAAAGCTTTCTGGAAATCTAAGGAGAGTAACCCACCAGTTACTCTTTAGCCACAGTACATGTTACCTCCTCAAAGAACTCCAATAGAGTGGTCAAACATCATTTGGCTTTCACAAAACCATGCTGACTCTGGCTGATCACCTTATCCAAATGCCCTACTGTATCTTCTTTAATAAGTGGTTCTACCATCTTCCCTGTGACAGATGTCAAGCCAACTGGCCTGTTCTTTGCTGCTTTCTGTCTCACTCCCCTTTTGAATAAAGAGTTACATTTGCTACCTTCCAATTTAACAAGTTCACCTTAAAACCAAGGGAGTTTTGGAAAATCAAAACCGAATATTTCCAAAAACTGAAAGGACTGTAGATGCTGGAAATCAGAAACAAGAACAGAAATTGCTGAAAAAACTCAGCAAGTCTTGCAGCGTCTGTGGAGAGAAAGCAGATTTAATGTTTCGGGTCAAACATCTCACTAGTCACTTCTTTTAAGACCCTTGGATTCGGTTCACGAAGACCCAGGCACTTGTCAGCTGCAGCTCCAATGATTTACTTAGCATCACTTCTATGGTCACAGAATCATACAGGACCAAAGAGGTTCTTCGACTGGCCATTCGCCTCTGCACTGACCGATCTACTCTAATCCCACTTTCCAGCACTTGCCCACATACATATTAAAGGTTGTCAAGTTTCCTGTCTCTACTACTCTTGCAGGCAGTGCATTCTAGATTCCCACCACTCACCGGATGAAAATATTTTTCCTCAAATCCTCTCTGAAACTCCTGCCTATCACCTTAACATTATGCCCCCTTGTTATTGACCCTTCACTATGGGGAATAGATGCTTCATATCCACCCTGACCATACTGTCAATGTTATACAATCATGTCCCCCCTCTGCTCTAAAGAAAACAACCCAAGCTCATCCAGTCTCTTTTAAGCTCCAACATAATCTCTCTGTTCTTATAATCAGTGTCACAACTGATGAAGGCAGATGTCCCATAAGTCTTTTTAACGACCCCAATAATCTGTTTTACGACTGTCTGCGATCTATGAACAAACACACAAAGATCCCTCCAATCCTGAGCTTCCTAGTCTCCTGCCATTCATTGAGTACTCCCTTGTCTTGTTACTTCTTCCAAAGTGCATCACCTCACATTTATCAGGGTTAAATTCCATCTGCCACTGAACTGACCATGATGTGAATTTTTTTGAGTTCCTTACTCCCTTCTATTATTATCAGTTTTATTTCTGATTCTGGGGAATGTTACTTGTGTTTTCCGTAAAATACCTGCTTAATTCATCTGCCATTTCCTTATTTTCCCTTATTAATTCTCCAGTCTCACCTTCTATGGGACCAATCTCACTTTGCAGCTCTTCTCCTTTAAATAGAACATAGAACATAGAACAGTACAGCACAGTGCTCTTCGGCCCACGATGTTGGGCCGAGCTTTTACCCGAAACCTAAGGTCTATCTAACCTCCACCGCTACCTTATACTATCGTCCATATGCCTATCTAATGGCCGCTTAAATGCCCCTAATGAGGCCAACTCCACTACCCTCTCCGGCAATGCATTCCATACCCAACCACTCTCTGAGTAAAGAACCTACCTCTGACGTCTCCCCAATATCTACCTCCTTTCACTTTAAAACTATGTCCCCTCGTAAAAGCTACCTCCACCCTAGGAAAAAGTCTCTGGCTGTCTACTCTATCTATACCTCTGATCATTTTGTACACCTCTATCAAGTCACCTCTCATCCTTCGTCGTTCTAAAGAGAAAAGCCCTAGCTCTCAACCTTTCCTCCTAAGACCTTCCCTCCATTCCAGGCAACATCCTGGTAAATCTCCTCTGCACCTTTTCTAACTCTTCCACATCTTTCCTGTAATGAGGTGACCAGAACTGGACACAATACTCCCAGATGTGGCCGAACCAGACTTTTGTATTGCTGGAGCATAACTTCACGGCTCTTGAACTCAATCCCTCTATTAATGAAAGCTAACACACCATACACCTTCTTAACAACTATATCCACCTGGGTGGCAGCTTTCAGGGAACCTCGAACATGAACCCCAAGATCCCTCTGCTCCTCCACACTGCCAAGAATCTTTCCGTTAACCCTGTATTCTGCTTTCAAGTTTGTCCTTCCAAAATGAATCACCTCACACTTTTCAGGGTTAAACTCCATCTGCCACTTCTCAGCCCAGCTCTGCCTTCCATTAATGTGCCTTTGTAACCTAGAACAGCCCTCCGCACTGTCCACAACGTGATCCACCTTCGTATCGTCAATATTTTTTAATATTCTGTCCTATCTCTTGACATGCGACCTGTCTTTGCACAATTATATATATTTTTCTTTCATTCTGATTGTAATCTTTAGCATCCCTGGTTAACCACAGATGATGGGTCCATCTCTTGAAATGCTTCTTAGTCAGTCTCCTTAGTTGGGCAGGTTCTTAAACAGTACAGTGGGAGCTTTAATCTATATCTAGCCCCATGCTGTGCTTGCCCTGGGCAGAGTACAAGGCTTTTTTTTCTGATGTGTCAATGTGTACTTTATTTGCCTTCACTATCCTGAATAAACACCCTGGGAGACTGAAATAGAAAATGATCCAGTCCCCAGTAGTAATTTCCCTCATACTGATGTGTGCAAATCCAACAAAAAAAATGTTTAAACCAAAGAAAAGTACACAGAATGCTCACCTCCTAAAATGTGGACAAGTTTAGCAAGGATGTAAAGGATCTGTTTCACGTACAGCAGATTTTTTGCTTTCAGTCTACTTCTGTGTGTCAGAAGAAAAACATGTTGTCAGGGCCAGAACAGTATTTCACAATGATTCCCAAGGACTAATTTCACTGGGTACAACAGAATGCTGGAACCATAATGTGAAAAGTATATCTATTGAAAATAACTGAAAGGGATAAATACTTGTTAGGCTAGAATGTTCATGGGGCTTTGAATAGAAAACTGGGTGAAAACAGTCCAGGCAGCAGTGCTAGAGTTCCTATTAATCCCGATGACAAAAGACAGAAAACTAAAGCAGAGTGGACACTAAATTTGCTGGAAAGAGAGAGTATAAAGATTTCAACATGAAGGGAGTTAGGCATATCCAATGCTAGGCAAATCAGGAAAGAATGCTGGGAGGCACAGCACACCACAGAAGGTATAAAAACAGGTAAAAGTGAAAAGAAGGACAACAAACAGCAGAGGCTAAAACAGAAGTTGCTGGAAAATCTCAGTATGACTGGCAGCATCGGTGAAGAGAAATCAAAGTT